AGATCGTATTAATAGGTTTGTCCCCAGCTGTTGGATCGGAGTGCCACTTACCCCTAATCCACGGATCACACAGGGAAGCTAGTATCAATTCAGGGCAAATAGCAACTCATTCACTCAGGTAAGGATTGGGTAGATCTTTCAGCTTCCTGACCACTGCTGCTACATTGGTCTGGAGTGTGCCACCAGGAACAAAGTCTAGTTCTCACACTAGAAACAATGATCCAGATAAAAAGAGGCATGTGCTCATCAAGTTCAGACTTTATCACATCAGTTTTTTTGCTGTTAATGGAAAAGAAAGTAAAGAAACCTAAATTTATTGTTCAACATGAAAAAAATCCTTCTCGACCCCAGAATGGTCATCAGATCTCTACTTGGATCAAAAATGAGTCACACATATTAAAAATTATGCCCCTGAATATTCGTGGATCAAGGATAAAATGCCTGCTATGTACTGGTCAAAGTTTTTTAAAGTACTACTGGCAGTAGCTGCTACCTAGATACAGCAGAAAGCTAAACACAGTATCACACTAGAATAAATGACCCAGGCTACTTCCTTCTCAAACACATGAACAACAAGGGTAAACACACAGGACAACTGAATGTCTGTCTCCATCAATAGTTATAGAGCTATAAGTACAAGTAGGATATTGCTGTTTGAAAACATACATTTTTAAAATTTATCAATAATGACATCGTAACACTGTTATCTGTCATACATCTCTGAAAAACACCTCACATGTACATATTTTTTTAAAGTAGACAACCCAGGGTATTCAATATGGGGTATGTCCAATCTTTTTTAGTAGCCACTTAGTCACAAATACTGGCCAAAGTTAGCATTTATATTTGTGTGTTAAAAATGCAAAAAACAATTATGAACGCTAACTTTGGCCAGTGTTTTTGACTAAGTGGCTACTAAAAAAGACTGGACATACCCCATTTGAAATACCTTGGGTTGTCTTCTTTTGCAAATTGTACGCCATCATGGGGGTAATTCTCATTCCTGGGCTACCATACGCTCTCAGAGGCAACATAACCAACCTGGCAATTTTCATTGTAAATATATTTGACCCTTAAATTTGACCCTATAACTTTCAAAAACACTTTAAAACCTGTACACGGGGGGGTACTGTTATGCTCAGGAAACTTTGCTGAACTCAAATATTAGTGTTTCAAAACAGGAAAACGTATCACAACAATTATATCATCAGAGAAAGTGCCGTTTGTGTGTGAAAAATGCAAAAAAAAGTCACTTTCACTGACAATATCATCACTGTGATATGTTTTACTGTTTTGAAACACTAATATTTGTGTTCAGCGAAGTCTCCCAAGTAAAACAGTACCCCCCATGTACAGGTTTTAGGGTGTCATAGAAAGGTACAGGGTTAAATAGAGTGCTAGCAAATTAAATTATCTGGACTTTCGGCCTGGATTGTCAGGCAGATCCCTCAAATTGCAATCAATAAAATTACTTGATTATGTAAAAATATTACATAAATATGCATGTAGAATTAAAATATATGCATATTTATATATTTAAAGTCTACGTGTATATTTATGAAATTATTTATGAAATTATGTATATGGATATATATATATATATTTTGAATTATTTTGATTTATATATACATAAATGTATATATAATTTCATTCTGAATGTATTTTGATATATATATATATATATATATATATATATATATATTAATATCAGAATACAGTTAGAATAAAATTTCATATATATATATATAATTTAAAAATTATTACTTATTATTTGTATTTTATAATATATATACACTATTGTCAGGATTACTGTTTGATCCAGCACGTAGAACTGTATAGCACGGATGACAAATAAGTAACGTATTACCGGTCCTTAGAATGGCCGTATTTAACGTACATAGAATAGTCAAAAATACTAGCCGAGGTCAGGGAACACAGAAAGGGACGCAGCGATGAGGAAAGCCAGGAGTCAGGATACCAGAATATAGAGAAGTCAATAAACAAAGTAAAAAAACAGGTAGAAAACTATAAACAGGAAAGCGCTCTCAGACAACCACAAGGGAAACCACAACAGGGCACTGAGCAGGATGAGAACTGGGCCTAAATACCCCTCCTCTAGATCTGATAGGCTGTAACCGGCCTTTGACCCCCAAAGTCAGTTACCAGGTTTCATTTGCATAATTGCTGCTCAGCATTAACCCTTCTGTGGATTAGGTTGCTGCTCGGCACAACTTTTCCTGTGTTGACAGTAAATGTCATTAACCACATTTTTATAAGCGGATGAATACGTGACAACTATATATAGTTATTATATATATTATATATATGTGTGTAATTTAATTATAAGTTTTTTTATATTAAATATGTATATATTAATATAAAAATACACTTAGTATGACATTTTATATATAAGATATATAGATATAATATATGTCTATATATCATATATGTATTAAGGCAATTTGCCTGCATTTGTGGGAGGTGCTGGTTTTCCACCCCTAGCCTACTTAAGGCACTCCCCTTGCCTGGCTCCTTACCGTTCGAGGTCAGCGTTGAATGAGGATCCACTTCCGGGTTCTCTCAGACGCCATCTTGGTTTCAGTATCCAGGAGGTTTCACCACGTTAAGCTGTGTCCAGGAATCCTGTTCAGGCCTTTCCGCCCGTCCAGCTTCTTCTGACTCCGTTCTCCGTCGTAGATCGCGTCCCAGGGACTCCTAAACCGTAAGTCAGACCTTCCTGTCACGCCAGGACTGGTTCCCACGGCGTACGGTACAGCACGGGTCCTCGCTTTACGGCTTTTCCCTGGTTATGACACGAATGTTTTCAAGCCATTCGCGGGCTTTTCATTTCGTACGGTCATTCGGCTGAACATGTTTTCAATCGTTCAATAGTCATTTCGCATATCCTATTCATGTTATTTAAACGAATGTTCATTCGGTTGTTTTGCCGTTCGGCAAATATTACATACGCTCACACACACTTTGGTTCGCATAAATCATACGGTTAAACTATTCTAACTTCTGTGTTCCCCTCACATTTGCTTTCGGCTGTTCTGTGTGTTCACGTTTTAATCCTTTCATGAATTATATTCACCATTTCATGTGTATATAACATTCGGTTAAGTATTGCTTGCTTAAATAGATTGTTGATTACTTTTAACAATTGTCAGTATTGTATTTTGTCCACAAACCAAGTCCACTTCTGTGTATACCATTTGACTCCCACGCTTTCTGGGGTCTGCATTACTTATCCATTTATACGTATGGACTCAGCCATGTCACAAGCCTCATTTCTGGGTTATTAATACAATACATACAAGGATAGGTTCATTTAAGCAATAATTCTCGGGTTGATACGTCTTTGCTATACATACATATCATATAGATCCACATCACTTTACATCATGCTAAATCATTTTGGGGTATCCCTGCCTTTGGTCTTTCTACTACATATCACACACAACGATGTGTTAATTAGGCCATGACCTCATCCATGTCCCTTTCTATAAAACCAGTTACATTTCGGTACAGGTCATTGAACTCCCACGCCAGGAGTTTTATAACTATCCATTTCATTTCAATTTACTCAGCCTACATTACAGGCCTCATTTCTCTGTCATGACGATGACACACAAGGCATAAGTCCTTTTGCATGCATACTCGGGTTGGATCACACGTCCTGATCCAACCAATCATACGTCCCCTACACAGTCATAATACATATGTATATAACCTACGTTTCATGTTTTCCTTTACACACCATTATCACGTAACACATAGATTGTTTGTACATAGGCCACGGCCTCCCTCAGATGTCTTTTTCAAGCATGCAAACATTTCTGAGCCACTCGTAGCTATTCCCATGGTATCAACATAATTTTATACATTGCTGCTACAGACTATAAGTCTGGTTCTTGTTATACCCCACACTCATCGTACTACTCTCTTTTACCCATTTTTAGGCTGTCGAGCTTATATAGTTGCTCCACACGGTTTATTCCTGTGATTTATCATACTACCAGGTACGTACACCTGCTCATATGGTATTCTACCATACATTTCATTTCATCCCCCTAGTTTAGAGTACTGGCAATAGGGTCACAGGATTCCCAATAGGTATTTACCCCATCTTGGCTGTCGCCATCAGTTAGTGGTCCCGCGAGGCCAACACCCCGCCTCAAACGTTTCGGAGGCAAACACCCATCGGGCCACACGTTAGCTAGCCGCCTCGCATGTTGCAAAGAGAGGGCCTCACCTGTCACTCCCTTCCCCTGTTTTCTGTCGTACAGTCACCGAGAGGCCTAAAACTCCTGCCACTACGTCAAGTGGCCTCAATAACCCCTCGCGCCAACGCATAGATAGAGCCTCTCAAGCCGCTTGGCAATTAGTAGGGCCTCACCTGTCACCAAACAAGCATAATACTTTCGCCATCCGGCCTAGCTAGCCTGCCAGTACAATTTGGTGGTTCTATATACTAATTATTGTTTTATTTATAGTATGTCTCAGGAAGGGGTAGAGGATTTCTCCCTGCCTAGCACCCCGGCTAGAGCTGTCACTCCCACACAAGGAGGAGAGCTAGCTAGTCCAGCATCAATTAGATCCTGGACAATCCCGCGCATAACCACGGAATTAAGGAGACGACAAATCCCCTACCCCGCTACAGCAAGGAAGGCAGAACTTTTCAAACTGCTACGCACATCAACCAATAACATGGAAGCCGGGGAAGGATCTAGCCAGTCCAACCCAGGGGACATACATGCCATGTTATCCTCACTCATGGCATCCATGGGCAAGGTCAACTCCAGGCTGGAGAAACTTGAGTCGGTCACCACGGCCCTCACTCTAGCAGGGCCACCCGCGGCTGCGGTACAAACACCAGCCTTGCCATTAGTCGCTCCAGCCAGCCCCCTGGATGACCAGGAAGTTAGCCCGGCCCACATGATACCTGAGCATATCAAAAGGGATATCCTGGAAGGTAAAGACGTCAACCTGGCTTCCCTGTTGATTGCCTCCCAGGACATTGTGGAACATAAAACGTATGCTTATGATGATGTTTCTGTTATTGTCAGATCTAGGGATGCCCGCCTAAACAGAAAACTGACTATCCCTGAATTTGTTCTAGCATTTGGTATTTACAGGGATGTCGTCTGTACGGTCTATCCCAACAGAAGAGAGGAGTTCGATCTCTAAATGCACAAGCTGGTAGACCTGGGCAACAAATATGGTGGTTCAGCATTCTATGACTACCATAGGTCTTTTTCTGCAAAAGTGGCTGGAGCCTTCTCCCAGTACGGTACACGGTCCAACTGGGGAAGGATTGATACCGTCTTATTCTGCAGACACTTTGCAGGTCTAAGAACACCAGCTTGTGCATACTGCTCCTCCACAGCCCATACTACCAATTTTTGTCCCAACACGGCAGACGGACATGCCTCCACACAAGGAACTACTTCCTCTGGGGATCCAGGGAAACTATCCACAGACAAATTGGGACGCCCAATCAAGTTTCTGGGCAAGTCCCAGATATGTAATAATTTCAGTGTTGGGTCTTGCAATTACAGTGGATGTAGACTATTGCATGTCTGTTCAAAATGTTTTAGGGCACATGCTAAGACCATGTGTCCAAATAAAATGTATTCTAAGCCTTACCTTACGTCCATTAATATGCCAGTATTCACAGCATTGATGTCTCAGCACCCATCTAGACACCTGGTAGATTTTCTTATTTCTGGTTTGACAGAAGGCTTCCACACAGGTATCCTACACATACCAGCTGGCACTCTGGAATGCCCAAACCTACAATCCGCCCAACACAACCCCACAGTGGTTGACACCCTCATAAACCAAGAAGTGGAGGAGGGCTTTGTATTGGGGCCTTTTAGAACTCCCCCATTCACAGCATGGCGCACCAACCCTATTGGTATTGTCACAGGGAAATCTTCCCAAAAACAGAGACTCATCGTTGACTTATCGGCTCCCCACTCATCGGCCAACCCCAGTCTTAATTCCCTCATACCCTCTGAGGAATTCTCTCTGCAATACACCACCATAGATCACGCCATTACAGCCATCATACAAGCAGGGGTGGGAGCCTGGCTCAGTAAGACCGACATTACTAACGCCTTCAAATTACTCCCTATCCACCCCACACTGTGGCACCTGCATGGCATCAAGTGGTCCGAGAACTACTATTTTTTCTCCCGGTTAACTTTTGGGTCCAAAAGTAGCCCAGCTATTTTCGACACATTTGCCGAAGCACTATGCTGGTTACTATTGAACATAGCCGGATGCCCTACAGTATTACATTACTTGGACGATTTCCTACTGGTCGAGGAGAATACTGCACCTCCCACTAGCCTCAAAGCTACCACTAAGCTGTTTGAGCAACTAGGTGTACCCATCTCCCCAAAGAAAACAGAAGGGCCAGACACGGTTATCACTTTTCTGGGTATCCAGTTAGACTCTGCCACAATGCAAGCAAGCCTACCTTACGAAAAGATAGACAATATTCTCACTTACATTAACAACTACCTACAGCTCGGCACTTGCAATCGCAAAGAACTACAGTCCCTGCTGGGGTCACTAAATTTTGCAATGCGCATCATACCTCAAGGCCGCTCCTTTATTTCACGACTATTGCATCTTTTCCCACTTTTTCTACATGACACGCACAGGTTGTCCTTAGATGCCCAAGCTACGGCAGATCTAAACATGTGGAAGAGGTTTTAACCACTTGGAATGGTAAAAGTATGTTCCTCCCTCAATTGACTGAATCATCTCCTACCATTTGGTCAGATGCGGCATCTACCACTGGTTTTGCAGCAATTTTTGGGAACGAATGGCTTTGGGGCAGCTGGCCTTCAGCAGTTCTGGATTTGGAAGGTTTTTCCACTACCTCAGCTCTTTTTGAGATCTACCCCATAGTGGCGGCTGCCGTAGCGTGGGGTCATTTATGGGCTAATACACCAGTACGTTGTTACTCAGACAACCAGGCGACCTGTCACATCATCAACAAAGGTCGTTCCAAATCTCTTACGATTATGAGATTTCTGAGGAAACTCACTTGGTTGGCAGCTTGTCATAATTTCTTCCTATGTTGTTTTCATGTGCCAGGTGTATACAACACAGCTGCTGACAGTTTGTCTCGCTTTAAATTTCAGGAGTTTCATCAAGCACTCCCGTCAGCAGCACCCACAGCCACCATCACTCCAACATTTCAACAACTCATACTGGACTAGACGTCATCATGCAGCATAGCAGGACATTGTCTCAGTTGGCACTTTCACACAATACAAACAAAACATACAACAGGGCTTTCACACTATTCAAACGATTCCTTCTGGAACATGACATCATACAACCGTTTGTTATGACATCTTTTTTGGGGTTTGCTTCCTTTTGCCACCTTAAACTCAAATTGTCATATAACACCATCAAACTCTATCTCACTGGCATTCAACACCACATGCTCATCTTACACCCAAATAACAACAGTTTCATGACCTCTCACCAAATCAAGACCATACTCAGAGGTATTCAAAAATCAGAACCCACACATTTGGCCCAGAGGCTACCCATAGATAACCATATCTTCAAAGCTTTATCTAATCTACTCGACCTGAAACCATTTGACACTAATACGAATTCTATCATCAAAACAGCAATATACATCGCTTTCTATGGATTTCTACGACCCAGAGAATTCACTACGACCTCCACGACCCAAACCACTCCATTCCTCCTCTATTCCCACTTGACAAAACATATGGATCATTACATCCTGTCTTTACCTCACTCCAAAACCAGCCAGCACATACCTGTAAACATTCCGTACTACCCCACGCACAACAGATGGTGTCCCGTAAAAGTTCTTGATGCCTACATACAGCACCATCACTTACTGCCCTCGCAACCGTTATTACAACTACAAGGTGCAGTACTCACCACTACAACCTTCATGACCTACGTCAGGTCCTTGCTCACACAACTGGGCCTCAACGCAAACAATTACTCAGGACACTCCTTTCGTATAGGAGCCGCGTCCACAGCCTCCAGTTTCAACGTCCCAACTCATGTTATCAAAACACTGGGGCGCTGGAAGTCATCTGCTTACTCACGGTACATACCGAACCCAGTACAAGAGTTAAGAGATGCTTTCATAAACATGTCTGGTTGATAAATGTATATGTATTGGTTGTCTGTTAATAAATTGGATTACTTAATTTTTGCCCTCTTCTTTCTCAGGCCTACCTCATCGTCGGTTTCGGCACACCACAACCGACTTGCTCCTTTTATCATCCTACGCTTATTCATGGTATTTCACACTGTACTATCTTAAGCACCTAACACAAGTATTAAGGCAATTTGCCTGCATTTGTGGGAGGTGCTGGTTTTCCACCCCTAGCCTACTTAAGGCACTCCCCTTGCCTGGCTCCTTACCGTTCGAGGTCAGCGTTGAATGACCCTCCCACCACACCACTTTTAACATTTATTTTCCTTTCTATTTCTTTTCCTGGGTGGGCCCTCTTCTTTCTCAGGCCTACCTCATCGTCGGTTTCGGCACACCACAACCGACTTGCTCCTTTTATCATCCTACGTTTATTCATGGTATTTCACACTGTACTATCTTAAGCACCTAACACAAATATATATATATATATATATACACATATTTAATTATATTTTTTATTAACAATACCATTTTTTTATTTGATTTTACACTTGCAGGGAGACTACCTGTCAGCACAGACAGTCACCCTGCAGGCATATACGTGGACACCTGTTGTGACCATGTGACCGCTCTGTTAAACATTACTAAACATTAAAAATTGAGAAATATCCATTATAATATGAACTTGTTTACATACATGGATTCAGCTATGTACCATTTTGTCACATTAAACTGTCCAAAACAGAGCTACTTATCTTTCCTCCCTCAAGTGTTGCTAGTCCTGTATTTGTCTCCTTCTAAGTCAATGGCACAACTATCAGCTCGCTGCCTTGGTGTTCTCGTTGACTCCAACCTCTCTTTCACTCCTTAAGTCCAAATCAAGTCCAGCCAAATCCTGCCACTTCTATCTCAGAAACATTACTCGCAACTGCTCTTATTTAACGCCAGACGCGGCTAAGGTGCTGGCCCATGCCACTATTATCTCTCGCCTTGACTACTGCATTCCGTTTTTCAGTGGCATTCCCAGCAGGCCCCATTATAATCCATGAATGCAGCAGTGAGGCTCATCTTCCAGTCTGCCCACATCTCCAATTCCTTCCCCTTCTGTCAGTCCTTACACTGGCTTCCAATAAAATATAGGACTCAATTAATGCTGGTGCTTGCTTACAAATCGCTGCACAACTCTGCTCCCAGCTACCCATCCTCACTGTTAAACTCCCTGCTCTGGTCCGTTAGACTCTCACCCAGTCTCAGTTCTTTCATTACAATCATTAAAACACCACTTATTTAGGAAAACATATTAATTAAACTGTTAATAGCTTTTTCTCCCTGCACTTTGTTTACCCACCCTGCTTTCTCTCCTGTAATGTTGTCATTCAATAAACTAACCATTTACTGTAAAATATTCTAGTAACCTACTTTAACACCCTCTTGTGTGTCCAACTCATCTTGCAATTACATGTTTGTTAGTCCATCTATTGTACATCACTATGGAATTTGGAGACAGGCCTACAGAATGTGTGTCTGGTCCCAAGAGACACTCTGAAGGGCATTGTGATATAGTAGCAGTCGATTTACAAACTATACATTGTTAGTATGATAACTCTGCAGCTTCCTGACTGAATAGAATTGTGCACATTTACATAATGCTGGTATGCAAATTAGTGCAACCAAATAAGTATTTAAATGTATATATGTTGCTTTTTATGGTGTTTTAAAAAGTTACTTGTATTATATATTTCATGTATTGGTTATAATTGCTTGTTCTCTAATGTTCTGTACATTTGTATTTCAAATGCTTTTCTTCACATGTTTACGGACAAGTCACCAAAGGCTAGTCCAACTGGATGTCAGTTTTCAGTTCTTACATTTCCAGTTCCAGTAGCAACTCCTAACTACAGACTACCTCCATCTTGGTATACAATTTGTAAAAAAAAAAAAAACGACAAGAATTGTGTATACACGTTTTTGACTATTGAAAATAAAATTAATTTATTGCAAACAAATATTGATTGCAAATTGCAATGGCTGTCAGGACAACAGAGCTGGTGCTGCCTGCTCTGCTGAGAACCCCGAAGCTGCACGGGCCTGTGGGTAGACCTATATAT